CACTGGAAGTTTTTAAGAAGAGACTGGACAGCCATTTGTCTGAAATGGTATAGGGTTCCTGCCTGAGCAGGGGGTTGGACTCGATGACCTCCAAGGTCCCTTCCAACTTTATTATTATTATTATTATTATTATTATTATTATTATTATTATTATTATTATTATTATTATTATTATTATTATTATTATTATTATTATTATCTCTCTTTGTTCTTTGCTTCCCTCATTCTAACTTTTTACAATATAAAATGCCCAGGAATCAGGCTTTTGTTTTGAAACACCCATGCATAAGAAATAATAGAAACATTCAAATGCAAATTTCTATTGTCTATGCTAGGTGCGGATTTATCATACTCAATATCAAGTTGAGGAAGGCTTTTCTAACAGCTGAGCCATACATATCTAGAGTGAAACCCAGGGCTTTCTGATAATTAAGTGACCAATTTCATTGATTAACAAATGTTTTGCCACTATAGTGGAAAACAGCCATACAGATTGAGCTAGACGTTACAAATGATAATTTAAAGAAGCAGTCCAGTCTATATGGGGTTTGGGTTATGCTGATTTTGCTGTCATATAACTCATGAAAGGCAGCCTTCTCTTCATGTATTTTCATGCTGGGTGAATATTCTGAGAGCTGCTATTTAATACATGAAGGAGGGGGCCAGATTGGAGAAAAATGAATTAAAACATGGTTTCTCCTTCTTCAAGAAGATAAAAACTGTTTTAAGGATACCCAATGGAATATAGCTAAAATCTAGCAATCTTTTTTTTCCCCAGCAAAAAAATTATACTGTTCAGAAAAGGCTACTTTTTAAATTTGATTACAGGATATTATTAAAGTGATGGAAGGACCATCAAAATGATAAGCCTGTTTTAACAGATTAGAATCCGTTGTTGCTTTTAAGAACTACGCCTGCCCCCCCAAAGTGAGCAGATGCTTACTTTAATATGGCTTGTGACGTGTTGGTCTTTACAAATGGAATTGCCCCTTGTTTCTTGAGAACTTTGACTATTACAGAGTCATCATGCTCAGGACAGTCCAGAAATTTCACTAAGCCAAGTGAATTGGGGTATCCCTTTAAAAAAAGAGAAATAAAGCAAATGAGGAGCTTTACAATAAAAAAGCGGAGCAAGAAAATGTGAAGAACAACATAATCCAAATCAATAGGAAATGCTATCAAATATCACTTTGATAAAAGTCTACCATATCTAGGCTGGATGACCTCTTGATGGAAACAGTAAATTAGAACTTTATGTTTTTGTGTTTATGTGATCTAGCTATCTTCTGGATTTTTGGAACCCAGACATGGTAGCTCTAGCATTCTTCCTTTCCTCTAAGCACAGCATGAACATACCATAAAAACTGTTTTTGTTCCCCTGCTATATTCTCATGATACAGGGGATGCTGCAACAGTTGTGTGAAAAAAAATGTCACAAGTCACTTTTTCCAGTGCTGTTGTAACTTCAGATGATCACTAAATGAACTGTTGTAAGTGGAAGACCATCTGTAGTGTCTTCTGTTCAGATCCAAAGCAGCTTAAACACATCTTTAGCTGTTCCAGGTTTTTTTCTGTCTTTTTCCAACATATTTTTTTTTTGCTATGGATATTATCTGCTTTGTTGACCATTAGGAAGTTAACATGGTCAGGAGTATGGAGTTCCCATGTGGTTTTTCATGAAAAAGACCATCTTTTAGACATGGATTTAGTGCCCTTTTGAAAGAGTGCTAGTCCTGTGCTACACAGAAAATCAATTTAACTAGGACAGGTAGCAGGTTCTGCCAATTGTGTGTTATTTTCCTACCAGCAGGTGGCACTTGGGGAGAAGGGAAATGAAGCCAGGAGATTCCACCAAGGAGATGCTCCCTCAACAGTAATGTCTCTCCATTAAAAGACAATAGCAGAACTGGCTGAGAGCCTTGATATATAATTGTAACCAAGGAAGTTATTATTATGGAATCGATCTGAGGGATGAAAATAAGAACCTGGTGGATAGGGTTGCCAGGTGTCCACTATTTGAGTGTACAGTCCACTTTTTTCACATTATGTTCACTATTTTTTTTCACAAAATAGTGGACATTTTTTTTATTCAAAAGCTTTATGATGAAATGGTACGTAATCTAAAGCTGTACAGTCTACTTTTTTTACTACTTAACACCCCCCCCCCCGCTTGTCCGCTATTTTTTGGAAGCAGACCTGGCAACCCTACTGGTGGATGGACTGCAAACAAAACTGACAAGCTCACCAAGGTTCTATCCCCCCCCCCCCGGAATCAGGAATACTGATCACACCAGTGTTTCTCAAACTTGACAACTTGAAGCTATGTGGACTTCAACTCCCAGAATTTCACAGTCAGCCTTGCTGGCTGGGGCACCCTGGGAGTTGAACTCCACACACCTTCAAGTTGCCAAAGCTGAGAAACATTGCATCAGACAATCTTTGCAGATCATCAGACTTCTGCAAGCACATTTGGCCTAAGGTGCTTACAGAACTCTTGTCAATTCTTGCGCTGAATGCATCAAGATGGAGAAAGGAGCTGGGTATGCTGAGATGCTGAGGGCTGGGCTTAATTCGCTAATTTTCCCCAGCCCAACTTTGCCAAACTCATCTGAAGGCATAGAACTTAAGCTCCTGAAGCATCGCGCTCCCCCACCCAATTGGTGATGAATAATTTCCAAGAGTACCTTGCAAGCAATGTTTTCCTTGATGCTGACAGGGACACCATAGAGTAACCCTTTCTCTCTCTTTTTAATTTCTCGGAGCTGTTCTTCACACTCTGGGAGAAAGTCTGTCACACAGTTGATTTCCCGGGTTACTGCTAAAGCCTTGATGCAAAAAGAAGAAAAGCAGAAGAAGGAGGTGGTCCAAGAACCAATCTGAACTTTTTTTAGCTGTTCAGAAAAGAATTCTATGGAAAATGGGCTTTTTTCCCCCTGCCTATACTTTGGTAGAAGGCATGCAAATTAAATAAGGACTGGGCAACATACAGTTGCCAAGCTGCACAATACAAATAATTCACCTTCATAATCCTGGTTTTGTTTTTTGTTTTTTGACAGACATCAAAACCTGAGCTACTTTATTTGGGCTGTGAACTGTAGAAAATGGTGGCATGAAAACAGCTGCATATATTTTATTTTAGGTTTGTGGGAAGTCAGCCCCCCCCCAAGAAGGAAATATTAAAAAGGCAAAATATTTCTTCAAAGGATCTTTAAAAGACAGAAAAGCATGCCCAGTTTTTCTTAATAGCCCAAGTCTCCCTTCCCCAAGCAGAAACCAGTTCTTAGAAATGTAGATATCATAATCCATTCAGGAAGGTTGGAGCCAGGAAGCTGGAGCTGGGATTAGAAAAACAAAGATCCCTAGAATCAACAAACCCTCACCCAAAAAAATCCAACACAGGACATAGCCATCAGCCACAGGTCCAGGGAAGCAGGATATGATCTTTAGGACATAATAGGATTAACCCACCACCATCAGAATACCAGAAAAGCACACTCAGACTCAGGTCAAAGTACATGACACATGAAATACAAAGCCTCAGACAGGAACAGGAAACAACCTTAAGAGCTACAGAAGGTATAAAACCCCACCACTTCCAGCATCATGTGGTCAGCTTTCCCAGAGCCACATTGCTGTCTGGCTCTGCCCTTCAATAAACTACAACCTTCTTTCTAAAGCAGTCTCTATTTGTTTATTCCCAGTTGGACTGGACCCTGATGAAGATGTTTCATTCAACAATTTGGCACCCCAGATGGGGCTCCAAGCTAATCTCTCCAATGGACTGAAACTGGTAAGCCTTATCTTGCCAGCAGCAGACCCCTTGTGTCTGTGGATGGGTTTCCCAGGCCCTGCCCATGTGGAGTGAGGGTAGTAAAGGAAGTTTTGAGTTTGAATTCAAGGGCTGCTTTGGAAAGAAGGCAAGTACTTCTAAATTTTAACTTTAAAGCCCAGGGGAGCGAGGAAAATGTGTGTATGTCTGTGGGCCCCAATCCCAATCCCAGTTGAATTTTGCTCCCTCTGGCCTTTCCTAACCGCAGAAAGGATCTGTTCAAGTAACAGACTCTGGAAAGCCTGGGGGTTGGGCCAGAGCGCAGGACCTTTTGTTATGGAAAAGGGAGAGGCTGTGTGAAAATGGAATGGAATGAGTGAATGAAAGAGTCGAACCTGGGCAACTGGCTGAAACCACTGGTCAAAGTTCCACTCTTCTAGGAGGGACACACATACTCTGCAAAAAAGTTAATGCAACAACCCCGGCCAAAAAGACTCCCCAGAATTCCTGTCTTCATTTATGTTTTGCAACTTCCCACACAATAACTTTGTCCCAACAAGTTTTTTTCTGTGCTTTCCTTCCTGAAATGAAGAAGGAAAGAGGCTCAGCAGGCCCAGGATAAAAGATCGCTACCTGCTGGCTTTTGGAGAGGAAGCAGAGGCTTAGACAAAGCAGGAAAAAAAATAAGGCAGAGGGGAAAAAAACCCCAACACTGTTGAAAAGAAGAATAGACACAGCAACCAGAATATAATAATAGCTAAAGCAGTGTTTTTCAATTTCAGCAGCATTTAAGATATGTGGACTTCAACTCCCAGAATTCCCCAGGCAGCCATTTTTTGTCTAACATAGTCTAACCTGGCTCTGCTGCAAAGTTTAGTTTTGGGTGCTGCACATTTTTATTTTTTTCCTTCTGTTTATATCTCAACGTTTTATATATCCTGTGCAGATTAGATCATTTTTTCACAGATGTATCATTTTATATCCTAAGTTTATGTCTTTGTGTATTGCCCAGAATAACCAATATGCTAGGTAATACTGTATAAGTACAATAAGTAAATTCCCAGCATCCAATACACTCAAGTATCTTTTTGGTGCACATATGCCAGTACTTTCCACCTGCCAAGCAGACAACTGCATTCATTCAGTCCTTGATCATCTCTCTAGAAGTCTCAAAGTCACACTGTTCCAAAAATGGAAATCCCTTGTAACTTAGCTGTTAGGAGTTGTAATAAATCTTCCACAGCTGAAAATAACTCCATGGATCACATAAATCAAAGGCCCAGGGCCCTAGATTCAGGGAGCTAGGAAAAGGATAACAGTTCCTCTTAACTCTTGAACTGCTGAATGAAATTTGCTTAATTGGGGCAGGTTGTACAATTGGGGAGGGATTTGAAGCTGAATTGGACTGAGCTTCATTTATAATGTCTGGGTAGGAGTGTGGACAAACAAATGTATATGTAGAATCAGTGCTTTTTTTGTAAAAAAAAAAAAAAAAGGTGCTGGAACTCACACACATCATACAACCCGCCTTGCCTACCCTACAAGGTTCCATCCAAAAAAGGTGCCGGAACTCCATTCTGGGCATTCTATGAGAAAAAAAGCACTGTGTAGAATATTGTGGAAATGAATTTAGCACTGTAACCTATTAGCTTAGCCAACTTTCCCTCAGTACATGTAAATTAAATAAACTGGCTTCTGCATCATCTCCCTGAGTACCATAAAGCCTATGCTATCTTGAGTACCAGAGTATCCATGTTTTCTTGACTGCTTCAGTTTCAGGGTCCCAATGCTTTTGAGGATTCTGTTTCCATGGAGACTCATCTCTGGAGATTTATGCTGTTTTGGTGATAGGTTTTAAAAAATATGCAAATAGGTTGAGGGTCAGGCATGGGTTCACAAAAGCCAAGAGCACCAGGCTTCCTGTTCCTCAACAGTTTTCTTGGGGAACTGAAGATGCCACCTACCCCCTCCCGCAAAGGTCAAAGTAAGCCCTCAAAGTTTCCTGTGCAGATTAAATCTCAGCATGGATTGACTAAAAAACTTGGCTTGATTAAATCCCTCACTTTCTCCTAGCGAGACAAAAGAATAGATAATCTTCTGTCCATCATATATTCCTTCTGGGTCCATTAAAGCATCATTACAGCAATCAGCTTCTAGTTATCGCCCACTAGTTCAGATTACAGAATCAGGGAAAGGTACAGAGTTAGAAGGGATTTTAAATTCTTAGCTTATGCCCAACTCAGTAGTAATATTTATGGTGTGAGATGGTTTGTATTGCACAAAGGATTTTGATGTTTGTAAGATAGAAGAGCGGGTGTTGTATAAACAATGCATATCCATATTGGAATTTAACATTTAAGGTCACCCTTACCTTTTCAATATGGGTATATAGAACACTTTCTGGAGACAAGGTGCCATCCTTTAACTTTGCAGCTAGTTCCACAAGAGAAAGAGATAGGATTGGAGCAGCCTTTATTCCTGGATTCTACAGCAAAGAACAAACATATTGCTGACAAATTATTGCAAAATGGGCACCTGTTAGACCAGTGATTGCTAAACTACATTATGTGGATTATTAATGATGCATGGAGGTTCACCAGCTGGCCCATCGCCCATATTCCCCACCATAATCCCCACATTCCCTACCCATAATCCCCATCTTCACTGCCAATCAACTGGCCAGCCTTGTTCAATCTTTTGGATGCACTGCAAGTTAGCTAGCCTGTAAAAATGGTTCAGTGGCTGAAAACTGGTTTGCTGGAGCATAAAAGTAGCAAAGTAAATGCTAAAATTTGTAAAATGTGCAAGAATGAGCAGTTGTTATTAGGGCATAGAGTATAGTAAAACACATTTTGTAGGAAAATCAAAATTGACTATTTTTTTACTGCTTCCCTATTAAAAAGGGAACCAGTAAAAAATAGTCAATTTTGATTTTCCTACAAAATGTGTTTTAAAAATCTTTTAAAATGGAGGAAATGGGGAAGGAGCATAAAATTGCCACAATAATGATTATCTTATTTGCTGAAACATGTGAACTCTCGCCCTCTTAAAAATAAAAATGTAGGAGGAGAATGTTTAATTGGATGGTCCCCAAATTTCCTAAATGTTTATTTTGTGGTCCTCAATAGCAGAGAGTTGAAGAAACACTTTGTTCAATCATTTGTTTGTTTATTCAATCAATCTATTTTGAGGCTAACTACAGCATCATTGGGCAGCTTAACTTTTTTTAAAAATAGCTTGAAACAAATATGTTTTAGATCAGGATATTTCACCATGGATTAATGTGCAAATTTGCACCATTTAGCTAAAAAAAAAACCCTAGCCCTACCAAAGGAACACTTTGTATTGCTTTTATTTATTTAAGAACAGCCTTAAATTTGATTCTTCATGAGAAACTATGGAGGAAATTAGCCACAACATCCATTGATCCTCATTTTCTCTGATTCATAACTATATTACATTAAAATACTACAATGCAGATGGAGGCTGTTGTAATGGTGGTTTAATCACCTTCCTCCTTATCTTCAGAGGAGTCAAACAGAGCTATATTCTTACCCCTTTATTATTCAACTTGTATATATGATGTCATTTATACAGAAATAAATAACTGTTTGATCATGGCATTGAACCTTTTTTTAAAAGTAATAGATCCTCCATGGCATCGGACCTGGTTACCTTCGGGACCGCCTGCTGCCTCAGATTACCTCCCATCGGCCTGTACGCTCCCACAGAGAGGGTCTCCTCAGGGTGCCGTCAGCCAGACAGTGCCGGCTGGCGACCCCCAGGGGGAGGGCCTTCTCGGTGGGAGCCCCCACCCTTTGGAATGAACTCCCCCCAGAGATCCGGGTGATTCCGGATCTCTCCTCCTTCCGCCGCGCCCTCAAGACGTGGCTTTTTAAGCAGGCAGGACTGGCCTAAGTATTACTTTTAATTAGTTTTCTATTGGTTTTAAAGGATACTAATTGGCCTATTGCAATATTTTATTTTAATTGATTTTAAAATGTGGTATGTTTTTTGTATTTGTTTATTTGTTTTTAACGGGCTGTAAGCCGCCCTGAGTCTGCAAGGAGAAGGGCGGGGTAGAAATTTAATAAAATCAAATCAAAATCAAGTAAAATGGCAAAGGAAGATAAAAATCTTCATTTTGATATTCCAGTTTATTACTTTTTAGCAAAACTTCATTTAAGGTTGTTTTTTTCCTTTCCTTCAATTATGTTCAATTCTCAGAGACTACCAGGACAAGCTCCTGCAGTTTTATTGGCAAGGTTTTTCAGGAGTCGCTTGCCAGTGCCTCTTTCTCAGACGGAGAGAAAGTGATTAGCCAAGGTCACCCCAACTGGCTTTCTGCCTAAGGTGGGAATAGAGTAGAACTCATGGTTTCCAGCCTGGTGCCTTAACCACTACCCCAATCTAGCTGTCATCGGTTATGATAGTATTTCAATACATTAATGAATTATGTACAGACACATAAAGAGAAGTTTTTAAACAGCTTTGTTTCGTAACTAATTATTCATCTTGACACAGCAAGGCAAAGATCCAGTTTTGCCTCCATTAGATCTCTGGTTTCAGCACTTCGCCTCTCCTGCCAAAAAAATGAGGTCAAGCGAAAGTAGGTTGGGAAAAATATTTATACATTTCAGTGATTGCTGTTCCCAGTCTATGTAAAAGGCAGCCCCAATCAGTTTGCCTTCTTTTCATTTCTTGTGAGGCGCACGGCCCCCATACTCAACCATTCATTTTATTTTATGATAGGGTAATACATACAACACTGACAGTACTTTTGTCCCGCTTTTGTTATCAGTGTTGATACTTGGGGCTTTGGACTGAATCCATAGTGGGTATAAGACAGATGGGAAGGATCTGCTAAGAATTTGAAAAGGGGTCCCTGGGAAGGGGTGATCTCACAATACAAACCTAGGTTAAAAGTTACTATTCTCCCACCTAAAGATGGCAGGAAATCAAATGATCTGTTCATAAGAAAGTGCGCTTTCACCTTTTTATACTCCGTAGTTCCCCGGTTGGAATGGCATGTGAGAATGACCTTGGGGGATAGGAAGAAGGGCTTTTCAGCAGTGGAGGTTTTTAAGAAGAGATTGGACAACCATTTGTCTGAAATGGTATAGGGTTTCCTGCCTGAGCAGGGGGTTGGACTGGAAGACCTCCAAGGTCCCTGTTATTCTTTTACTCTATTATTTTCATACTTGCAAGATCGTTATCAGCCTTACAAGGTTGTCCAGGCATGAAGCACACCTAGAAGTACCAGCTCTAATTGTACTATAAGGTTACACTAACAGTATCTTGCAAGTGTGAAAGTACACCACTTCCCCCTCATCTTTACAATTCAAGAAACTAGGGAAAGTTCCTTCTGAGATGTTTGCCACACCCCCAATCCTTCTGTGGGCTCATCTGCCTCTTATTAGAGTAGACCATTGCCTAGTTTGGGATTCTTCACTCTGTCTCCCAAGGCACATTCTGTCTCCCACATACCATTACACCAACTGGGATTCACTGGCAATGCACAACATTGGAATCCAGGCACGATGCTACAGCAAACCTTGTTTTCTACAACCAGTTAAGCTGCAGCCCACATAGTCTCACTTTTATGAAAGTAAAAAGCATCTTGTATCTCATTGTTAGTCTTTCATTTTCTGTTTTCTCTCCAGGTTGCATGTAATCTTATCAGCTTCCAATCTTAGAGCCTCCAATTAGGATTCCCCCCCCCAACAACCATCAGTAGCTCTGTGTGATATAAATATCTTGATACAGAGAATTCTTCTTTATACTGAAACATAATGAAGGGAGCAGGAGTTCTTTCCGAACTAGGGATAGTTCTTCCTGAATTCTATGTTATATTGCAGGATGAAGGCTACTCAACATGCTATACTGGATCTCTCTCTCTCTCTCTCTCTCTCTCTCTCTCTCTCTCTCTCTCTCTCTCTCTCTCNTCTCTCCCTCTCTCTCTCTCTCTCTCTCTCTCTCTCTCTCTCTCTCTCTCTCTCTCTCTCTCTCTCTCTCTCTCTCTCTCTCTCTCTCTCTCTCTCTCTCTCTCTCTCTCTCTCTCTCTCTCTCTCTCTCTCTCTCTCTCTCTCTCTCTCTCTCTCTCTCTCTCTCTCTCTCTCTCTCTCTCTCTCTCTCTCTCTCTTTTTCACACACACACAAACACACACTTTTGTACAAGAAGAAAGACAAGAGGCTTGTTCTTCGTGCCTAGGCATTCTGACCTCAGCATAATCCTGGCATATGTCAATGGTCACTAGGCAAATGCTAAGCTCAAATATCCACTGGTTTTATGATGGATGATTTGTTACCGTCCTGCTGAAAAGTAGGCAGAGACAGCTGCGTTAGGGGGGCAGCCTAAATGCAAGAAGAGAAGGCAAAAGAAATCTTATGCTTCTCCCGCCCCCCCCCCCTCATGACACAAAGTATGTGTGAACATTAAGAGACTCTTAATGTTAAATAGGAAACACAGAGCAACAGGAACTTTCAAAACTAAGTTTAACCAAAAGATATGGAGAAGAAATTAATTATAGCACTGTACAAAATGTGCAGCAAACCAGTACTTTCAAAGATCAAAATAATTACTTTAAATATGAAATAGATCTTGGCAAGCAAAGTACCGTATCACCACTATATAGTATATGCATATTTATTTGCTTAAGCAAGGCAGAAGCCATAATGCAGAGAATATGGGTCAGTGAGATATTTCGCATGTGAATCTGTCTTAGTTATTTTCTAAAATTAGGAAAAAGAAGGAAATCTGATTCTTTTTTTTTTAAATGCTGTAATTAATACCTGCTGTTTAAACTGCCTTGCTGCCTTCTCCATTCGCTGAAACCCAAGTTCTCGCTTGGTCTTGAATTCATCAAGTTTCTTCTGGACCCGTCGCTGGTTCATCCATTTGAACATCAGAATAGCAGCAGCTGAGCCACAAAACAAGCCTGAGACAAGGCGCCTGTCAACCTCAGCCTCTGGAAAGAGCTCCTTAACTTTCTCCAGAGCCATAGTGTGAGATTTTCTCTCCGTTCAGAATCAGGAAAAGCTGCTAAGACTGTGTTCCCTGGAGCTAATGGAAAAGACAGAGAAGAAAGTGGGTGGTGATTCTTAAGCCCACCCAGATGCTGTCAAGTCGAAGCAACTGACAGATAGAAGCCTGTCTAATAAGGAATTAAGAACTTCCAGAAAAGTATCTCCATAGAAGAACCTTTCAAGTGACATTTGTTGACTTAGCCATCACAACATTCCGATGTACTATACAACACGTCACTTTAGAAATATAAGATGATCCACTTGTTCCATTCTGAATTCCACCAAATGTTACTGCATGCATCCATCCCTAGAGAATAGAAAGAAAAAACCCACCCAGATGCTATGGAATTTGGTTTTCTTTTGTGATCTCCTGGTCTAGATATGTTTTCATAGACTAGATATTGCTAATGACAAAGGATAGACCTATGCAGCAGATCCAACAATAAAAAATTCTACCATGAACTTTGGGCCTCTTTCATTTCTAAGATATAGCTGTGATATTATTTCTCTTTAACAGACTTGCTTCTCTGTGCTCTTTCTAGAGTGACTATTCCACTGCATAAACACTCTTATTTTCTATGGGATGGCATACCAATATTTCAAATCTGAATGTATAAAAAGTATCTAAAAAAACAAGGTCATGATGGCTATTTGAGGGGTACACACACACACACACACACACACACACACACAATGTGACCAGCTATGCAGTCATCAGGATGATCAGGCAACTAGAATATTTTTTAGTCCTTTTGTTGTTGTTGTTAGTTGCGAAGTTATGTACGACCCATTGCGACCCCATGGACAATGTTCCTCCAGGCCTTCCTGTCCTCTACCATCTTCTGGAGTCCATTTAAGCTTGCTTTGTTGCAAATGCCCATGTTCTTTCTTCAGTTTGCCTTTCTGGGCATCTCGCCTCTGCAAGAATTTGGAAACAGCCAGGGTACTTATGGCTGTTAATCTCAATCCATTTCATCCAAATCCACTTTGAGTTTTATTTTCACCACCCCTCATTCCAATTCCAATTGTCACGTTTCCAGCTTTGTTTGATGATTTCACCCACCACTTGTTCTATCCCTCAAAAAAGGAAATGTTTATTTCTTTTAAATCTTAGACCTTCTTAGGTTTCTTAGACCTTCTCCATATATCAGGTTGCAATGTCTTTCGTAAAAAAATGAAAAGCATTTCTACTTGCTAGAAATAATCCCAATTAAAGTTAGAGGGACGTCCAAATAGGCATATGAAGGATTGCACCATCAGTTTCATACTAGCTTTGCTTTTTTTTCTTTTTCTTTTTTAAAGAAAGGCAAATGAAGATGTGGTGTGGCTGAGAAAGCTGGAATTAAGATCCAAATTTATTTCTTTTCAAGGAGAAATAACCGGATATGAAGAAAAATAGTTTTGTTTTTCTGTTTGCTACACTGCATCTAGTTCAGTGGTTCTCAACCTGTGGGTCGGGACCCCATTTGGGGTCGATCGACCATTTCACGGGGGTCGCCAAGCAAGGCTGTCCGCCATTTTTTTTGTCCGCCATTTTTTCCCCTTTTCCGGCGGGTGCCTTACCTCCCTTGGGCTGGGCCAGCTGGTGGTCGGCCTGCTCTGTCTCTGCCGCTTGCCAGCTACGCCTCGGCCGGCACAGAGGGCGGAACCACGCATGTGCGGTGCTCCCGGGCAGGGAAAGTCCTCGACTTACGACCAGTTTAGTCCTCGACTTATGACCGGTTTAGTCCTCGACTTACGACCGGTTTAGTCCTCGACTTACGACCGGTTGGGGTCGCGGCATTAAAAAGGTTGAGAACCACTGATCTAGTTGGAGGGCCATTACAGCAAAAGCATGCAGAAGGGAGAATATTAAAAAAAACACCTCCAATCTGGTAGTCACACCCATGTCATCAAAGCCCATATTTTTAGGTGGTGTCATGCATAGGATATGCTAAAGAGACACATGACTTTTTTGATCTCTCCTGCATGCCCCACATTACAGCAAATGTGCAATCTCATGTAATGTCAGAAGGAATACATCAAATGTAAATCCTTCTGTATATGTGTGGCTTTTTTCCACAAGACAACCATAGTTTAGATTTATTTTTGGGCACAGATCTGTAACACTGGAAACAGTTCCATTTACTGGATATGTTTTTTCTTCTTCTGAAGCTATTCAAGACTGCACATTTTTAAAATAGATGAATTATTTGCATTAAAAAAAAAACACGTAATAGTTGACCCTGCCTGCAGGATTACAATCTGCTAAGTAGACCAGAACAAACTTCTTGGCTACAGAGCCAGCTTTCTTCAAGTCAAAGCAGTTTAACAGGCTACATTTTTACTGACCAATGAATATTCCTACATTTGTTCCTCCTATAAATGCTAGCAATAATAGAATGAAAAAAATATTGAAGAAATGCCACAAAACAGATTTGAAAAATTCTGGAAGAATTTGTGAAAAGATTTAAGTAGTTTTTGTGTTCTGGCAAATGAATCCAAAAGTAAATGAAAATATTTAAGAAGCACTTGCTAATTTTTTTTAATACTAATTCTGTAGCATTTACATTTAAAGACAAAAGGGTGTCAGTATTTTTACTTTTCTATCCATGTGGCTTTAGAAAATGGGTGCCTTATTGGAAAAGCTAAAAGACCAGGTTAAAGACAAATTATTCTAGAGAAAATATATTCTATGTGATTCCAAAGAGTTGATATTGACAGTTATTTATTTACACATTTTTGCTATTTGTTGTGGATTTATGATGACTTTCCCAGGAGGGGAAAAAATTCCATAAGGAGGCTCATTAATCCTCATTAGTTCTGCATTGTAGTGTTTGTTAGCAATTATACTGAAGATAAAATTTGTTTCTGCTTCCAAGTCAGTATTCAAAAGGCTCCTTCATGCATTTTTCTTCTAATCTCAGTTTTGAACATTTCAATTTCAGGTTCTTGTTCACAACAGAAAAGTGATCCTGGGAGAATGATACCACAGATAAACAAAAGGATCTGTTTAAGAAATTATACATGGATAAATAAAGGTTGAAATTTCTGCTATGTACCTCAACAACCATATTTCATATTGTGGATTCATTATTCCTCTAATTAGGTAGAATACCACCAACTGCCTACATTCCTTTCCCCACCCTGGAATTGAGATTACATTTCATAAGCTATTTTCCATCTTCCCTCTCTTGTTTCTTTCAAACTCCCACTCCTAAATTCTTCTCTCTCCATTAAATAAATTCCATGTCCCATATCACCTATTCTCAAACCCAAAGTGAAATTTAATTCACTTCCATCTCTGCTTGGTTGAGAGACACTGCAGGTTCCAACACAGATAAAACTCTTTTCCATGTTAGAGGGTTCTTTAACCATCCATATCTTGGGAACTTTGAAAAAGTACTGTGACTGTCAACCAAAGTAGTACATGTATAGAACCAAAATAACCCTTATAAAAATAATATGAAAAAGCAGAATTTTTAGAATGTCAAGCACAAGCCTCCAATTGTTTTGAAGGGTTAAAGCAGGGGTAGTCAACCTTGGTTCTTTTATGACTCGTGGACTTCAATTCAGTTTATGACTCAGGAATTCTGGGAGTTGAAGTCCACGAGTCATAAAAGAGCCAAGGTTGACTACCCCTGGGTTAAAGATACCTCTTACAAATCTGTGGTGCTTTTTGTTTATTCTGCATGAAATTGCTGTTTAGAGGTCGATATGTCTTGCTACTGGAGGAAGCCTTCTCTTCCTGGGGAGTTATTATACCTACCCTATTTGGTCATTTTTCATCATAGGCAGTATGTAGCAGTAAGAATACTTGACATTGACATTGAAAAAATGAATGTATACGTATTTGACTTTGTGATTCACTTCATGTTCCATGCAAAACATTCCTTCAAAATGCTGTGAAACAGTGGCATGACTGCAACACTTGGCTGGGGGAAGTAGAGCTCTGTGTGGATGGTGTTTTTTTTTAAAAAAAATACTAAATTGAATCACTATTATTAGCAGTGAATGCAATCCTTCTATCAGTAGATGCAACCTTCTCCAATTTGCCACCTTCTAAGCACGTTAGAAGTGCAATTCTCAGAATTCCCAGGTTGTGATCCCAATACACCTGGAGGATGCCAAATTGGGAAAACTTGTTTATATTACAAGGGCTACCCATTCTAGTTTGATATACTTTTTCCTCTGATTTACTGACTTGAATGAAAGCCAGTATCCAAATGCTAAAAAGAGAAAAAGGGGGAAAGATAACCTGATACTGTAAAGTGGATGTCTGCCTCATTTCTCTAGAACCACATACAGAAAGCCAAACACACCAACTACCAATACCAATTTTGTTTGTTTTCATTATTTCATTCCATATATATTGTATAACAAAGTTGGGAAGGACCTGGGAGGTCTTCTAGTCCAAACTCCTGCTCAAGCAGTAAACCCTATACCAGGCATGTCAAACTCACGACGTCACGTGATGTCACGCAATGTATCGGGCCGGTTTTGCCATTGCCGGCAATGGGGTGGGCGCGGCTTCCACATGACACCCCTGCCCTATACCATTTGGGACAAATGGTTGTCCAATGTCATCTTAAAAGCCTCCATTGATGGAGCGTATACAACTTCTGGAGACAAGCCATTACACTGATTAATTGGTCTCACTGTCAGGAAATTTCTCCTTAGTTCTAGATTGGATCTCTCCTTGGTAAGTTTCCACCCGTTGCTCCCTCAGGAAATAGTTTGTCCCCCTCTTCTCTGTGATAGCCCCTTAAATATTGGAAGTCTGCTATCATGTCATCCCTAGTTCTTCTCTTCATTAGACCAGGGCCTTTCAACCTTTTCACAGATTGTACCACTTTTAGGACATGACAATATTTGAGTACCACCAGTGCTTAGCAAGGTGTCAAAACTTGATGATTAAAAAAAGCTTCTGGGGCTTCTGCCAAGCCCACACAGTCCCGCAGCTCCAGCTGCCTCTCCCTCAGGCTTGGGTCACTTCGGCTCATTCCCCTCCCTTGCTACACTTCTCTAGGATGGTCGCGTACCACCTGCCATG